TTCAGAAGGGGATTCAGAGATAGAGGAGATAGAGGAGAAAGAAGAGAAAGAGAAGGAGGACAAGGACAAGGAGAAGAGACGGCAGAATGACACTGTTCACTACCTCCTGAAGAGCACCATCCATCTGCCTCGATGCTGCTGCTACTTCAACGTGAAGAAGCTGGTGAAGAAGCTGAGGGAGAAAAGTTCAGCTCAAGCCCAAATTGTCCCTGAAATAGCTACTTTCTCCACCATCTTCACCTACAACTATCTGCACCGCGAAGAGACATTTGAGTGCAACCTGAGGGTCTACAAGTACAACGAGAAGTCCGAGGAAGACCACTGGACGGAGGAGAAGAGACCGCCGAAGGGAAGTCGCTGTTTGGTGGTGGAGTGCTTCTTCTCCGTGCCCAAAGACCCGACCGTGACCGTGGAGGTGATGGAGAAACTCATACTGCTGGCCACGGACGAGCTGTGGGAGCAGTTTAGGGACCCGCGTGCGATGGAACGAGCCGCTAAGGACGCTCGAAACCCCACCTTCCGTGTGGTCCTGGACAGGAACCTGCGGAGGTGGTACGGCGCTCGGGAGTTTTTAGAGCAGCACAGTTTAGTCGACAAACGTCCTGAGCCTATTTCTCGGTGGAACAGGTTCAGAAAATGGGCCAAAGACAAACTGAAACGAATCAAGTTTAACTTTTCCCTTATGCAGATTAGACTTTTAGGCCGGGTCTAGACCCAGACTAGGCCGGGTTTAGACCTGAAATTATTGTATCAATTAAAAATAAATAAATAAATAAATAAATAAAGTAAATCAGCAGTAGTTCATTTTGTTCTTCAATCCAAACATCAAAACAAATCTGAAATGTGCCTGTGTGTGTCAGATGCCCTCCCTGTGTCTCTGTGGGTCGTATTCTGTGTAAAAAACACTAATCCTGTAGTTTTGACGTCTAAACATGTTCTGAAACACGTGGGGCAGGGGTGGGCCATATCTCCATATTTTAAATATATCCAGATATTTTTTAACTCAATATGGACTCTGACATCGAACTTCTATTATTATATTTCATCGACACGTATCGCCTACGCAGAGCCTCTGCGTCGACCGATGTGCACCTCTGAAATTTTCTAACTGCATCGTTTTGACGCGTCAAAACGACAGGGAAGCGACGCAGACGATAAGAGCTGTGATTGATCCTCCCGACTACCGCACTACACACTTTTCCTGTACTCGGCTTTTCTTTCTTTCAATTTAGATTGAGAAATCTTGTGTTTAATGCAGCTTTACGTTTTACAGAAACGAAACTTAAAACTACATGGCTAATTTGCATAAATTAAGCGCTCATAAAACAGCTCGCTCCTGGTACGTGGTTCAGCTTCTGTCGTACTTTAAAAAGGACACGAATATGAGTGTTCTCTGTGTGTCAGAGGGGTGTTCTCTCTGCGACAGAGGGGTGTTCTCTCTGCGACAGAGGGGTGTTCTCTCTGCGACAGAGGGGTGTTCTCTCTGCGACAGAGGGGTGTTCTCTCTGCGACAGAGGGGTGTTCTCTCTGCGACAGAGGGGTGTTCTCTCTGCGACAGAGGGGTGTTTCTCTCTGTGTTCTCTCTGCGACAGAGGGGTGTTCTCTCTGCGACAGAGGGGTGTTCTCTCTGCGACAGAGGGGTGTTCTCTCTGCGACAGAGGGGTGTTCTCTCTGCGACAGAGGGGTGTTCTCTCTGACAGAGGGGTGTTCTCTCTCTGCGACAGAGGGGTGTTCTCTCTGCGACAGAGGGGTGTTCTCTCTGCGACAGAGGGGTGTTCTCTCTGCGACAGAGGGGTGTTCTCTCTGCGTCAGAGGGGTGTTCTCTCTCTGCGACAGAGGGTGTCTCTCTCTGCGACAGAGGGGTGTTCTCTCTCTGCAGAGGGGTGTTCTCTCTGCAGAGGGGTGTTCTCTCTGCGACAGAGGGGTGTTCTCTCTGCGACAGAGGGGTGTTCTCTCTGTGTCAGAGGGGTGTTCTCTCTGTGTCAGAGGGGTGTTCTCTCTGCGACAGAGGGGTGTTCTCTCTGCGACAGAGGGGTGTTCTCTCTGTGTCAGAGGGGTGTTCTCTCTGCGACAGAGGGGTGTTCTCTCTGTGCGACAGAGGGGTGTTCTCTCTGCGACAGAGGGGTGTTCTCTCTGCGACAGAGGGGTGTTCTCTCTGCGACAGAGGGGTGTTCTCTCTGCGACAGAGGGGTGTTCTCTCTCTGCGACAGAGGGGTGTTCTCTCTGCGACAGAGGGGTGTTCTCTCTGTGTCAGAGGGGTGTTCTCTCTGCGACAGAGGGGTGTTCTCTCTGCGACAGAGGGGTGTTTCTCTCTGCGACAGAGGGGTGTTCTCTCTGCGACAGAGGGGTGTTCTCTCTGCGACAGAGGGTGTTCTCTCTGCGACAGAGGGGTGTTCTCTCTGCGACAGAGGGGTGTTTCTCTCTCGACAGAGGGGTGTTCTCTCTGCGACAGAGGGGTGTTCTCTCTGCGACAGAGGGGTGTTCTCTCTGTGTCAGAGGGGTGTTCTCTCTGCGACAGAGGGGTGTTCTCTCTCTGCGACAGAGGGGTGTTCTCTCTCTGCGACAGAGGGGTGTTCTCTCTGCGACAGAGGGGTGTTCTCTCTCTGCGACAGAGGGGTGTTCTCTCTGTGTCAGAGGGGTTCTCTCTGCGACAGAGGGGTGTTTCTCTCTCAGAGGGGTGTTTCTCTCTGCGACAGAGGGGTGTTCTCTCTGCGACAGAGGGGTGTTCTCTCTCTGCGACAGAGGGGTGTTCTCTCTGCGACAGAGGGGTGTTCTCTCTGCGACAGAGGGGTGTTCTCTCTGCGACAGAGGGGTGTTTCTCTCTGACAGAGGGGTGTCTCTCTCAGGGGTGTTCTCTCTGCGACAGAGGGGTGTTCTCTCTGCGACAGAGGGTGTTCTCTCTGTGTCAGAGGGGTGTTCTCTCTGCGTCAGAGGGGTGTTCTCTCTGCGACAGAGGGGTGTTCTCTCTGTCAGAGGGGTGTTCTCTCTGCGTCAGAGGGGTGTTCTCTCTGCGTCAGAGGGGTGTTCTCTCTGCGACAGAGGGGTGTTCTCTCTGTGACAGAGGGTGTTCTCTCTGTGTCAGAGGGGTGTTCTCTCTGTGTCAGAGGGGTGTTCTCTCTGTGACAGGGGTGTTCTCTCTGTGACAGAGGGGTGTTCTCTCTGCGACAGAGGGGTGTTCTCTCTCAGAGGGGTGTTCTCTGTGTCAGAGGGGTGTTCTCTCTCTCTGTGACAGAGGGGTGTTCTCTCTGTCAGAGGGTGTTCTCTCTGTGACAGAGGGGTGTTCTCTCTGTGTCAGAGGGTGTTCTCTGTGTCAGAGGGGTGTCTCTCTGCGACAGAGGGTGTTCTCTCTGTGTCAGAGGGGTGTTCTCTCTGTGTCAGAGGGGTGTTCTCTCTGTGACAGAGGGGTGTTCTCTCTGTGACAGAGGGGTGTTCTCTCTGTGACAGAGGGGTGTTCTGCTGATGGTGAGTCTGTTCTGTGTTTGTGTCGTGTTGGAGATGGTTCATGTGAAACTTTTCACACATTATACGTGTGCAGGTGGTGCACACAGACACACGTTTATATGAATGGACACATATTCTCGCCCCCTAGTGTTTTGGTGGTGAATTACTTCGCAGTGAACAGACCTCGACGCAGATCCATAAATCAAAAACAATAGCGACAAGGCGACGGCGGCAGTGCTCGATGAGTCGATGCAGAACTATACTTCACCCTTTAGTTTCAGAGTAGTTTCGGTGTAGTTAGCTCCTCCTTTCAGTCAGATATAAGGAAGTGTCCACCAGAGTCTGACCAGAACATAAACATATTCGACCTAAATAAACTTTTGTCCAGTTGACAAATTGAATTTCTCCTTTTGCCCTGGATTCTACCTGGACGACTGAGAGAATTTATCCACAACTATCAAGGTAAGAAAGACAAAAGATGAAAGAACAACAGCCACATTCAACTAAACTCATGTTATGATCATGAATAAAACAGAAGGAACTTGTTCACTCAGAATGATTCTACAATTACAATTAAAAATCAATTTCATGATGTGGATATTTGCACAGACACAGAGATTTGTGCAGTTTAAATTCTCCACATCTCTAGAACCAGAACATGAGTTTAGTTGGGTGTGTGACTGATGTGGCTCGTTGTTTCCTTTAAGTTTTCATCTTTCTTACTTTGACAGTTCGGCCCTTTGTATCATGAGCCAAAAATAAGTTTTCGTGCAAAGGCAAAAGGCAGAAACACTTTACCGTATTTTCCACACTGTAGGCGCTCTGGATTATAAGGCGCACTGTCATTGAATGGTCTATTTTCCAACTTTTTTTCACAAATAAATCTTTGTATTCAATTATACTTCAGTGATCTTTAAAGTGAAAGTATTGTGTGTATTTATTCACACTGTTCACACTAAACTGCAAAGTCACTTGTGTCAAACTGTTTCAGTGTGGAAGTGTCGCCGCATGATCTTGATCAGCACGAAACAGGAAACCCAAAACTCTTCTAGTCCAGCGGTGTCAAACTTATTTTGTTCCGGGGGTCGTATCCAACCGACTTTGATCCCAAAGTGTCCGGATCAGAAAACTCGTGGCATGTAGGCGAGTTTCACTGTTGACAAAAGCGCCCGTTGCATGCTGGGAATTATTTTGGTCGGCGGCAAGAAACACTAATTCAACATGACGGACAGAGCGAGAAAGCACGTAAAGTTTAGTTCTTGGTTCAGTCCTGGCTTAGCTCTGGTTCAGTTTTGGTTCAGTTTTGGTTCAGTTTTGGTTCAGTTTTGGTTTAGTCCTGGTTCAGTCCTGGTTCAGTCCTGGTTCAGTTTTGGTCTCTTGTCCAGCAGTGGTCGTGTTGCTGATGTTTGGTGGTTATGATGTGACTGTGGTGTGTGTCGGTCTTTAGTCCAGGTCTTTGTACAGTCTGAGGTGAGGAGGTTGTGGGTTAGACTCTCGTTCTGTCTGCGTGTGCGTGTTCTCCCTGCGTTAGTTCGAGCGGTTCGTCTTTTTAAACTGACCATGTTCCGTCGTTTATTTCCTTCAGCGCGGCGGCGTTGTCGAGTCTGAGCTGGGTCACGTGGCCGCACACGCTCTGCAGGACGGGGAGCAGGTCGGGGGCGGAGTCTAGAGCCTGGCCACGCCCCTTCAGCAGCTGTGACATCATCTCTGAAATGTGGGCGGGGCTTACGGGGCTGCGGGACTCACTGCTCTCTGGAAAACACACAGAATCATTTTCATTAGGAATTAACTGTTTACATGGTCTTTTTTTAAAAGCAGAATTAATTTTAATTCAAAATTAAATTAGTTTTATTTGGAATTAAAGCTCTCATGTAAACGAGCATGTGATATTAATAATTTCTATACATTCAGGGCAGCTTTGCCACACCGGGAACTATCTCATTTCCTTCCTTTCAGTCATTACCCCAACTTCATGAAAAAGGCTTTTATTTTGATAGAACAATGTTATTTCCAACACAAAATAAAAGCATAGTTCTGTTGAAGTGCACCTCACCTGAGCAGGTGGAGTCAGACGAGTCATGTGACATCGCTCCGATCTGATTGGACGGAGTTTCAGCGGCTGAGGAAGTGAACGGAGGCGGAAACTGTGAAAACATCAGATTCATTTAATTAAAGGTTAAACGTAAATCCTGCGACAGAACAAACACGAGGATAGAGTCTGACACTGAGTGAGTTTACGTGTGCTTCAGTGTCTGATCCTGGTTCTGACAGTATTCTGGGTCTGGTGTTTCCCTGCGCTCGAAGAAACCAGGAGACTCATGTTCCTGTGCACACGAGGAATCAGAGGATCCTGGATATTTAGACTGGTTGCTATGGTAACTATGGCACAGATTATGGCACGGAGCTGAACATGTAGGAACTTTTCGAACTTAAGATTTTTTAACAGATTTCTAAGAACAAAAAAGAGACAAACATTCAAGTCAGAACATGAGAGTGTGGAGCTCTGTCACAACTTCAGGAAAAATCTTTTTTAAAAGTTGAAAAATACAACACACTGAGTGCCACTGAGTCAGTTTAGCTCAAGAGTGCCTGTTATTTATTTTATTTATTTATTGTTTTTATCTATTTTTTAGTACTGCTTTTATGTATTTATTTAATTTTTTGTTCATTGATTTTATTATTATAATTTTATTTACCGATTCTATTAGTTTCCTATTGTTTTTTTTTTTTTGGTTTTTTTTAAGTTGCTATGTGCAGCACTTTGGAAACTGTCTTGTTTATAAAATGTGCTCTACAAATAAATTTGGATTGGACTGGAAGAGCAGCACAGACACACAGAGGTGAGCCTGGGGTTAAAAAGTGACTATACTACACAGTAGACTTTTGTTTATAAGTCTAAAATATTATTACTTAAAAAGTCCTGGTGGGAGTTCGAGTCGTTTTGGGAAAGTAAATGATCCTACTGTATCTGTTACTTGAGTTCACACATCCAAGCAAATCCAGGAGACTGAAATCAGGATCCTGCGTTTACACGGACGCTCACAAAACCAGGAAACTCAAAGAAACTCAAACAGAACCGGTACAATCGAACACTGGGACAGTACAGATACAGATACAGGTGCAGATACAGATACAGGTGCAGGTGCAGGTGCAGGTACAGATACAGGTGCAGGTGTAGTTATAGTGAGTAGAGTGGAGTTACAGTGGAGTCTTTACCTGGAGCGGGGAGGGCATCTGAGGCAAAGCTCTTCCTCCCATCAACATCGGGAAGAGAGAACTCAAAGAAGACGTCTGATTCTGAAGAGAAACAATAAACAAGATTAACATCCGCCTCATTTCGGAAGTTTCTGTGGACGTGTTGTTTGGCAAACTGCGATAAAATGTGTTTAATATTTACATGTTGTGGGACATTAGAAATATAAAGAGTAAAAAATAAAAAAACTGTAGATTCAAATGTTGTTCACAGCCCCTGTAGAGCGCCCCCTGTCACCTGCTGCTGGAACTGCACCATGTCCATGAGATGCTGAGCTCCCGGAGACAGACTCGTGCCCATCTCCTCCATCATGGACTGAACCTGCTGCAGGTCGATGCTGTGGTTTACAGAGACGCCTGAACGCACCGTCTCCACTCCCACCGAGACCGAGAGCACCCGAACGCACCGCCGCCCGCACAGAGACAACAGCTGAGAGAGGAGAGAGGAGCAGCGGGGGTTTAAAACACAATGAAACAAAAACACAAACGAAATATAAGACTCACCTTGACGTCACATGAGGCCGAGGGGTGATCCAGGACCAGCTGTTTCCTGTAGAAAGGCCCTGAGTCTGGACTGAAGAAGAAGAAGAGACGATTCAAAACCCAGATGCAGTTTTGTTGATCATTTTAAGAACGTGTCAGTTTTATATTGTGTACCGTATTTTCCGCACTATTAGTCTCTCTGGATTATAAGACGCACTGTCATTAAATGGTCTATTTTTGAACTTTTTTCACAAATAAACAGCGTGGGACTTTAAACAAATGTTTGGCCTCCATGGGTCCAGTCTACTTGAGGGAGTTACTGCAGCCCTATACTCCGCCCAGAGCCCTGAGATCAGCCGGCCAGCTCCTGTTGGTCGAGCCCAAAACTCGGCTCAAGACGAGAGGTGACAGAGACTTTTCTGTGGCAGCGCCTGGACTACGGAACTGCCTTCCTCTTGCTGTCAGATCCTCTCAGTCTGTAACGCAGTTTAAGGCGAGACTGAAAACTCACTTCTTCTCCCTGGCATTTAGTACGAGCTGGTCAGGTTATCTTGGTGTTTTTATTGTAGTTTTATATCATGTTTTCTGTATATATGTATATGTAACTGTTTCTTCTATATCAGGAGTGTCAAACTCATTTTGGTCCGGGGGCCGTATCCAACCTACTTTGATCCTGAAGGGGCCGGATCAGAAAACTCATGTCATATAAACCCCAAAAATAGCAATAAGTTCAAATATTTGTGCAGAAAAATGCAAATCTATTACAGAAATCTTTTTTAATTGATGAACTCTTTCTTATTATATGTTTATAATATTATGAACAAACTGAAACTTTAAGAAAAATTCAATTTCAACACAAAGTTTGAACATGAACTTGTCTGTAAACAGGAATAAGTCAATTTTTGTTGTAAAATCCTGCACTCGGCTCCACTTTTCTCATGTTGGACATTTTTCTGATGAGGGTGTCACGGTCAACAGTCAAAACGATCGTCCTTTAAGAGCGTTTGGAAAGAGACAAGTCTTCATTTGTGCTGCTCTGGTGGGAGGGGCCACGTACAGAGACGCTGGAGACGCTGCTGTGATAAACACCACACAAAATTATTAATAGAAAATATAATTAAAATATTTTAGTAGAAAATCACCCAAGGGCCACATTAAAAGTCTTGGAGGGCCGGATCTGGCCCCCGGGCCTTATGTTTGACACCTGTGTTCTATGTTGTTGACTTGTATGTGAAGCACTTTGGTCAACTTAAGTTGTTTTAAATGTGCTATATAAATAAACTTGAATTGAATTGAATTAAATGAAACCCAACAGTGTGATGTGTGAGTGGTTTTGTTTGTTTGTTTGTTCACGGTGACTCTGGGTGTGTTCAGTTGTGGCGTGTAGGGAGTAGTGTCTGTCGCTGGATTGTCGGCGTGTTCAGTGACTCAGTTGTTCAGTCGTGTCTAGAAGCGGCACGTTGCACTCGTCGCTTTTTCGGTTCGTTCCTCCGTTCCGTTCCTCACATTTTTAGCTCTTTTTATTGTTCTGTAAACGCTATAATCACCCGCAACAACAGATTAACATGTTTTATAAGTTTCAGTTTTGCTGCTAAGTCGCTCCCCCTTCAGAGCGCCATCACAACACAATCACCGCGCGTCCCTTTAACGAATCTAGTGTGGTTTTCTGTCACGTTTTTGTATTATTCATGGAGAATTGTCATGTTTACTGTCGTATTTATGGAGAAATCTCGTACAGAGAGATCGCTAGATTACTCAAACACGCGTGGATGTCTCTAAAACCTCTTCCGACATGTTTTTTTTTTGGACGATGGAACGTTAAAACATGGGAGAAAGCTCCAAAAATACCCCCGTCTTTAAGCACAGTTCTCCATTCATCTCGACAGAAATTCTAATCTTGATAAACGGAATTTCAGTTTTGTCCATAGTTATCAGTCATTTTTGACATTTTAAAACTTTCGTGTAGGGAGGGTGTGTCTGGGACCAATGGATTGTCGGCGTGTTCGCAGTGACTCAGTTGTTCAGTCGTGTCTAGAAGCGGCACGTTGCGCTCGTGGCTTTTTCGGTTTGTTCCTCTGTTCCGTTCCTCGTCGGCGTGGAGTGATGAGTGTGTCTGTGGGTGTGTTTCGTTGTGCGGTCGCTGTCTGCTCCGTGTGTGTTTGAGTGTTCTGTGTGTGTTTGTAGTTTACTGAAGTCGTGCTGGGACACTGAGTGGATTCGTGTGTGGGGCGCTCTGGATTGTGGCGCGCAGTCGTTTTTTGATGCAGTTAGAGGCTTAAGAGCGCGTCTAATAACCAGGAAAATACGGTATATTCTGTGTTCACATTTTTGGTTAGTTTTTTAGTTTTGTAGTACTTTCTTATCCCCGTTGTTTCAGGAGCAGGGGGCAGAGCACTAGACGCCCGGAGACCCATCTCCGTGATCTTGTTGCTGGGCTTGGTGATTTAACCCAGACCAGCTCCAGAGCCACATACGGCCCTTTGTTCTAAGTTACATTATAATTTGGACATTTAAAGTGACTTGATAAAAAAATGGTGTCCAAATAGAAGCTGACATTGATGTAGACGTCATCACCACAAATAGTCCTCATTTCGATGGACAGCTGCAGATCACAATAACAATAATTTTTCTTGAACATAAGAGATTCCAGTGTGATCAAACGTGCACAAATTACTCTAAACACAACTTTGGATGAGTAAAAGGTGATGGGAAACAATTATAACATGTAAGTACTGTATTTTCCTGGTTATTAGACGCGCTCTTAAGCCTCTAACCGCATCAAAAAACAGCTGCGCGCCACAATCCAGAGCGCCCCATACACGAATCCACTCAGTGTCCCAGCACGACTTCAGTAAACTACACACAGAACACTCAAACACACACAGAACACTCAAACACACACAGAACACACAAACACACACAGAACACTCAAACACACACAGAACACTCAAACACACACAGAACACACAAACACACACGGAACACACAAACACACACAGAACACACACAGAACACTCAAACACACACAGAACACTCAAACACACACAGAACACTCAAACACACACAGAACACTCAAACACACACAGAGCAGACAGCGACCGCACAGAGAAACACACCCACAGACACACACTCATCACCCCACGCTGACGAGGAACGGAACGGAGGAACGAACCGAAAAAAAGCGAGCGCAACGTGCCGCTTCTAGACACGACTGAACAACTGAGTCACTGCGAACACGCCGACAATCCGTTGGTCCCGGACACACCCTCCCTACACGCCACAACTGAACACACCCAGAGTCACCGTGAACGAACAAACAAAACCACTCACACATCACACTGTTGGGTTTCATTTAAAGTCCCACGCTGTTTATTTGTGAAAAAAGTAAAAAAAATAGACCATTTAATGACGCCTTATAATCCAGAGCGACTAATAGCCTGGAAAATACGGTAAAGTAAATAAAGTTTATTTATACAGCGCTTTTCACAGACGTAGGTCACAAAATGCTTCACAAAAGATAAAAACAGCAGAAGTCACATTCATAATAAAATAAAATGAGTCTTAGCAGCTCTAAACCTGAGGAGACAGGAACACTTGTTCAAAGAGAAACCTTTTTAGTTTCTTTTAAAAAGCACCTACACGATCTAGAAAGCGTAAGTAAGGAGGCAGTTTATTCCAGAGTTTAGAGGAGCTGGCCTGAAAGGATCTGTCACCTCACGTTGTAAAACTTGTCTGAGGGAACATTAGCAGGTGTTGTGCCCTTTTTGTTTGAGGAGGTTTGTAACTCGGAGATCCAGACCCATTTATGTATTTATTTTAAAGAACAAAAAAAATATTATTCTCTGTGACTGACTTTCTTTTGCAATATACTTTGGTCACAAAATAGTATGTTCTCTCTCTGCTGGCACTGCCTTCCCCGCCTGCTGCTACAGGAGGCAGATAAACCTGACTGCAGGAGGAGATCAGGATCACCTTCAATTAATCATTTTTTAATAAATATAAACGGGCTCCAACAGCAGGTTTTGTCTGACAGACCTCAGGCTACGGGCCGACGTGTGCGGCTTTATCAGGTCTGAGTCTGGTCATGTAAGGCCCTAAAGATCAGGATCTTAAAGTGGACACGAAAAAGAAGAGGAGCTGCCCGTAGGATTTAGACTCCTCTTCCTTTTTTCTTTAGTAGTTACTTATCTGATCATTATTTCTCATGTCATTTACTTTTATTATATATTACCACATATTCACTTTCTTTAAGGTATTTTAAGGTAAAAACTATTCAATTTTGGAACCAAACAATATCTGATCTTAAAACCTCCATGTTATGAGGTATATATTAGACCATTGAGCGGCTAAGTGATGTTGTTGTTTTGGGTTTATCTAGATTTGATGTGGTAGATTTAAATAAGCACTAATCTTTCATTTATTGAATTTTGTCCTGGACCTGTTGTGTTGTGTTGGTTTGTATTGTTTTTGTTATATTAAAAAACAATCAGTGTTGGGGAGTAACAGATTACATGTACTGAAGTTACGTAATCTGAGTACAAAATATGAGTAACTGTATTCAGTTACAGTTACTGTTTCAGTGAGTGGTAATTGGATTACAGTTACTTTGTTGAAATAAATGGATTACACAGAGGGATTTTCCTCTTTTCATATTTTGGGCTATATCCCTTTTTTTTTTTTTTTTGGATAATTCCACTCATTTCTGGAAACTAAACCAGGTCTAAAACCAGGACTAAACCAAGAATAAACCAGGAATAAACCAGGACTAAAACCAGGACTAAACCAAAAATAAACCAGGAATAAACCAGGACTAAAACAGGACTAAAAAGCAGATCTAAACTAGATCTAAACTAGGTCTAAATCAGGTCTAAAACCAGGACTAAACCAGGTCTAAAACAGGACTAAAAGAAGGTCTAAACTAGATCTAAACCAGGTGTAAACCACGACTAAAACCACGACTAAACCAGGACTAAACCAGGACTAAACCAGGACTAAACCAGGACTAAACCAGGACTAAACCAGGACTAAACCAGGACTAAAACAGGACTAAAACAGGACTAAACCAGGTCTAAACCAGGACTAAACCATGCTGCATGGACGTGTCTCCTTGTTTTCTATCAATAATATTTTTAATATGGTTAAGGAAAGTCTGGGCTTTTCATTTTCTTTTAGCAGATAAAACATCTTATGTGAAGATTTCCTCATCTTTGCTTCTCTACAGCAAATAAAGTAATCCAAAGTAATCAGATTACATTACTCACTTGAAGTAGTTTAATGGATTACATTACAAACTACATTTTGGGATATGTAATCTGTAATCTGTAGGGGATTACATTTTAAAAGTCACCTTCCCAACACTGAAAACAATAAATATTTGGTAACAACAAAAAAAAGGTATTTTAAGGAATGTCTGGATGGAGAACGACTTGGTATTTTGTGTAAATGTAACGTATTGTTCAAATTGCAGATACATTGAAATCTTGTCACTTTTTATATTGTATTTTACATTGTTATAGTTTTTAGTTTGTTATGTTCAGATAATCCTTCATCATAATGTCAATTTAGGCAACGGTTTGTAAGAATAACGACCTTGAATTTAGTCATGTTGTTATTAAATCTTCTCATATCCCCTATTTAACGACTCAACTGATCAGCTCTGTCTATTTGAACAAGATTCCAAATCATTACACATCACTTTGATTATCTAACTCATTAATAACGACTTATCTCATTTTCAGTCAAATATGTTTAAACAACTAAGTCATTTTTAACATTCAAAAGTTATAATCGACATCAAAAATGCATGTGAGTTCTTCAAAAAACACTTTTAAATATGTCAATATGTTTTAATTTGCAGATATAGTATTAATATTCAAAGTTTCTCTATAGAATTCAAGTTGTTTATTAATAAAATATAGATTTTCATAGGGGGTCAATATTACCAGAATAGGATTCTGACACAGGGTCAAAATCCTACACCACACCTGTTCAGTTCCTTCTTGCTCAGGCAGGTAAACAGACTGTTACAATAGTCTAGTCTCAAAAACACAAATGCACAGATCACCATCTCTAACTCTGTTTTGATATGTTTCGCAGCTGGAAAAAGTGTGAAAAAATACTCCAAATCTCTTAAGTAGTTTCTAGTTCAGTGCGGTTTAATCTTAGGGTCGGCACTTTCTGGAGTAACATGGGTAAAAGTTGTGAAAAGAACAGCTCTGCTTTAACCGGAGTGAGTTTGTACCTGTCTGTGTGGACGCTCTGGTCCCTCTCTCCTCTCACGGTCCCGCAGTATTCTCCGCTCTGGTCGTACACCTCCACGGTCCGAGCTTCAGTCACAAACTCCAGCCTCCTGATCACAGAGGGGGGGCTGCAGTTCAGAGACAGCACACAGGGGGCGCTCTCCTCCGGCTGGGACAACAGGACCGGGGCTGTGGAACTGAAATAAAACACAGCTGGTAAGTCTCCTCTGCTCCTCTGACCCTCTCCTCTGCTCTCTCTGCATTTATTCTCTGTCCCTCCTTTGTCCAAACTATTTTTTTCTCACCAGTTTTGTTCTTGTTGTTGTTCGTGGTTTTCATTGGGGTCTTCGTTGTTGTAAATTCTCAGGACGTCAGACAGAGATCGTCCCTCTGATTCACAAACCCAAGAGGAAGACACGTCCACCATGACGCTGCTAGAAAACAAAACAACACATTCTATTTATTGTGTCATCCTTAGAGTTTAACCTGAGCTAGAGACACGTCAGAATTCTCTGGTGGAGTTTGCTGTGAGGTTACTGATGTTGACCTGGTTTGGACCTGACCTATCTACATGAAACAAAAACAGGCACAAAGTTCGACATCTTCTCTGTCAGGAAGAATCAAACTAAAGTCAAATGATTTTTTTTCCACAATCACATCAGAAAGTGGTAAAAGATTTTAAGCTATAAGATTAATATGAAGTTTGTGGAGCTGACCCCAAACAAATAAAGAGGATGAGAACATTTGTGCATCACAAGTTTGGAGATTTCTTACACACACCCCTGCCCTCCATATGAAATTTTAACATAATGAAATCCTAAAATGTGAACGCAATCTCAACTATGAGATTTCAGTGCAAACACAAACATGATCCTACTTAAAAAGCTGAATTAGAATGCCTTTTACTGTTACTGTACATATGTATAATGAGATGTGTCAGAAAATAACAGAGATATTAACACAAAGAAACTCAGAAGGCAGAATTCAGGGTTTTTACTCGCAGTGAGGGACAGAGACACTGCTACAGCCCTCAACTGTCGAAGAACCACTGTCCAACGCCATATATTTATTGAATCACACAGGTTACAAGAATGAATGGGCAATTACATTTTTCTATCACAGTAAAAAACACAGAGACCAAAGGTGTGTATTGTGTGGGTGTGTTGTAGTGTGTGTATTGTGTGGGTGTGTAGTGTGTGTGTGTATTGTGTGGGTGTGTGTGTGTATTGTGTGTGTGTGTGTGTGTGTGTGTGTGTGTGTGTGTATTGTGTGTGTGTGTGTGTGTGTGTGTGTGCCAGCTGCTGAGGTGTAAGGGGGGGATGTGCGTAGGGAAGACTGTCCTTGGGGAAGATAACAGTTAATAAGAAGCTGGTTTTCCCGTGAGAAATACACTTTGAGAAATACCCTTTGATAATAATAAGACAAAGAATCATCTATACAGCATTTGAAAAACTCTTTAACAAGATGAAAACCAACTGACCCTCCAGTGCAGACATGCAACGCAGTACAAAAAATAATAAATCAAAGGTTATATAAATAAATAGCTGTAAGAACTAGTGCGAGACATAAAAAAGGCTGAGACAGGGACACTCAAGACGACAAAACTCACTACACGTGGGCTGGTATTATTCAGAAGTTGCTGATACGACACACAGTTCGATACAGTGATCTGATGATTTGATATGATTCAATACGATGTATTTCAAATTGATATTTCAAATCAATCAATGAAACTTCATTTATAAAGCACTTTTCATACAAATATTCCATACAGATCAATAAAAAATAAAGTCTAAATCATGTGTGTGACACTAAAAGTCTTTGTTAAATCACTTCTTCTTGTGCAAAGTTCAGATGAAACACGAACATTTTAATCATCAAAAGTGAAAATGTCAAATGTGTCACAGAAACGAGTTTCCTTCTAAACAAACAACAAAACTGTAGCTGGAACAAAATAATTTAGGAAATTAGTAAAATATATCAAAAAATGCTGGTGGTGTATCGATACAGTAGCCCACGATATCGATACTGTATCATCACAAACGATACGATATGTTGATATTTTAATATTTTTGCACAGCCTTACACTGTACTGTATTTAAATATTGCACTGTATGTAAAAATGACCCAGATACTGAACAAATATTATTGGAATTTCAAATGGCATTCTCATTTGACCAAGTAAACAAACTAGGAACAGCCTTTATTTATTTTTTGTTATCTAATTTACAACACTGACCTGAAATGGCCCCGATCAACACAGTAATAATATATGTTATATAAATGTTATTTGGATTTCAAACAGTAGCTGATTGTTTTTTGTGATTTGGTAATTCCAGAGCGCCCACCACAACCCAACACCACACAACACAACAGGAGGAGCCTTTGTCCTTCTACAGCACTTCCCTTATTTTACCAAGAAATGTATTTTGAGCACATAAAAAAAGAACTAACTTTTACACAACTATCCCACACTGAAATTCACAGTATTCAAGCTTGTATCCGCACACACCCAGACTCGAAGATGCTGCAATAAATCCACGCAGTAATCTGAGTTAAAATTAGGGGTGTGCAAAAATATCGATATATCGTATCGTTTAATGTGATGATACAGTATCGATATCGTGGGCTACTGTATTGATATTTCACCAAGAGTATTTTTACATGTGTTTTACTAAATTATTTTGTTACAGAGCTACAGTTTTGTTGCTTGTGGAGTGAAAGGAAGCTCATTTATGCGACACATTTGACATTTTTACTGTTTTGACGATTAAAATGTTTGTGTTTCATATGAACTTTGCACAAGAAGTGGTTTAACAAAGACTTTTAGTATCACAGCCACGATTTAGCCTTTATTTTTTATTGAACTGTATCGAATCGATTTGAAATATATCATATCGATTCGAAAGTGGCCTGTGTATCGAGGTATGTATCGTATCGGCAACTTCTTAATGATACCCAGCCCTAGTTAAAATATGAACATTTCCACACAGGTTTATATTGAAAAGCCTTTATATTTCCTCTTCTTTATTTCTAACACTTTACTAAACACGGGTATTTATTTTTTGTTCTGGACAGGAGCCACATTATAAAAGTATATGCTCATTATGCACAGAAATGTGTAGTTTAAAACACGTCCACGTTTGGCTTCGTTGATCATGAAGCATAAACATTAATATCACAATCACAGCTCACATTCATTCAAAAACGCAAAACTTTTACCTTTAAACCGTCGCCAAAATTCACCACACGCCGCCGACGAACCTGCCTCCTACATGTTCATCCAAACAGATCCACGTAAAACCAATTTGTGCAGAAATAACCGTATTTTTGTGGAAATTAACTCGTTTGATGCTAGCGCTGCAGCTAATGTGGCTAACCGGATCTGTGCCGGAAGTGGCACGGGGCTGGAGCGGATGTTGTGATGTGACGTCGATAGCGGGAGACAGCGGCAACATCCGAGAAGGTAAAGCACGTTTTTATGGCTTTTTACTTATTTTATTACAGATTATCAGTGTTGGGGAGTAACAGATTACATTTACGTAATCAGAGTACAAATGATGAGTAACTGTATTCAGTTACAGTTACTGTTTCAGTGAGTGGTAATTGGATTACAGTTACTTTGTTGAAATAAATGGATTACACGGCGGGATTTTCCGGTTTTCACATTTTGGACTAAACCAGGTCTAAAACCAGGACTAAACCAGGTCTAAACAATATGACACCTAGCAGTAGCGTGAACATAATTTAAGGCAGCAGTGATCTCATATAGAAATCATTTCTCTATCAATAATATTTTTTATAGGCTTAAGTAAAGACTGGGTTTTTTATTTTCTTTTAGCAGACAATTATGTTATGATTTCCTGGTCTTTGCTCCTCTATAGCAAACAGTGGCTTATTCATCGAGACTTGGGCTCAACAGACAATTTGAAGAGAACAAGAATTTTCAGGATGTGGTCGCTACATTCATGTCGTTTTAAAAAGCACAACAATATCAAGTAATCCAAAGTATTCAGATTACGTTACTCACTTTAAGTAATTTAATGGATTACGTTACAAACTACATTTTGGGGTATGTAATCTGTAATCTGTAAGGGAATACATTTTAAAAGTAACCTTCCCAACACTGCACATTATACCAAATATTTTCAATATATTATAATGCTTTATGATACAGACACCCAGTTAAACTTATATTTTGGTATTATTTTGATCGTGTGTCGTATTTTTGTACAGATAACTTTTCATATCGGATCCTGATTTTTATTAACTTAATTTTACTCCATTACATAATTCACAACTTAGATTTTTTTTTATATATATACAATGCTTAGTAAATGACAAAGTGTATATTGTGGTTTAGTGGCAGCAGATCTTCTGGTGTTAGAGGGTTTGCTGAATGTTGATACAGAAATATTTCCCATATCTTCGTAGACAGAATTATCCAAGTACAACTGTAACAAGTGAAAAGTTAAAAAAAAATTACACCTAATTATCAAAATGCTTAAACAATTAATCACACAAAAATATCCTAACATACTCTGGCTCTGCGGCTCACGGTGGACGTGTGGACTCCTCCCAGTTTAGGATTCTAATAAAAAGAGTGAAATGTTTTATTATATTTCCACTTATTTGACACATTTTAGAGTTATTTTTCAGTCTCTCTCTCACTTTTGGTCCTGATCCAGATAACAGCAACAACCACACAGACGACGGCGATGAGAGCTGCTGTAGTTACAATCACCACAATCAGCACATCTGAAAAGAAAAGAGCTATTTAGACATTTGCAGTAACAAATAAACTCCAAACAAACCCAGGCAAAGTGAATGTTTTGTCAAATGGCACAACAGCAGTTTGCAGGAATTCAACTGCCAACCTCTGTGGGAATTAGGGCTGCAAGAGAGCGTGAGTGTGGATTCTCTAGTAACAAGTGTGGGTAGAAACTCTGAACTCAACTTTGTTTCTAGAGCACTTTAAAAACAGCCGAGTCGACCAACGTGCTGGACACAAAACACGAAACAAACAGTGACAATCAAATTGAAACTTGAAATTTAAATAGCCACAGTTACTCAAACATGCAGGCTGCAGTTTGAGGAAGTGACATTGTTTCATCCACAAATGACAAATTCTCCTCTTAATCTGCATAAAACACAGGAGATCTATGCAATGAATCAAAATGGAGTCCAATTAAGATCCAGTCATTTGCCACGGTAATAATGCAATAACAATATTAAATGGCATAGACCTTTTTCATAACGGTCTGAAGTGTCGCGCTGTAGGTTTGTGGAACTTCCGGTTAATGGTTTTCTGTGTAAATGTATGTGTATAAATGTGTGTGTGTAAATGTGTGTCGTGTTCTCCAGCAGTTTCATAAATCTGCTCAATCACCAAATCTTCAACCAACAAACTCCACAAAGGACAAACATTCTTCATGAACAATTTATCCACAAAAATCAAGAGAAGAAAGAACAAAACTTAAAGGAAACAATGAGTCACATTAGTCACACAACAAACTCAACTCATGTTCTGATCATGAAGAAAACAGAAGGAACTTGTTCACTCAGACTCATTCTACTGTTACTATTAAAAATGGATTTCATGATGTAGATATTAGCACAGACTGGGGATGGGCATTCGATGAAATTTTCTTAATCGATCGTTGGAAGAATTAACGATCGATTATCGATTAATCATTAATGTTTTTATATTAAAATGATCATTATTATTACTATCTGCACTAATCTGCATAAATAAATTCAACTTTATGACATATAAACATAACGACTCTAGATCCACATCAGCTGTTTGACATTATAATGTGTTTAATTCAGTTTTGTTCAAATCTCACAGAAACAAAACTTAAAACCACATCACTAATTTACATAAACTAAGTGAAGATAAAACTCCAGCTCTTGTGTCGCTGATGTGGTTCAACTTGTGTTGGATTAAAAGACATGACTCAGGTGAATACAGGTCAGTGTGACCAGATTTGTGTTTGTCAAAACCAGGACAGCGTACGGGGGGAGGGGGGCGGGGCCTCGTCATCCACATTGAGCGACTCTCACCTGGAAAAACTTTTTCCCACTGGACACAGAAACATATGTGCTGCTTTATCCACTGTGCACATGGACTCACACTTGTCCCAACGCAACGGAAAGTGTGGAATTTCTTCTACAAATCCTGGTTAAATCCACATTTGTGCTTCGGTTCGTTACAGACTGACCCACTGTTTGTGTCTCGCTCCTTCTGATGCAGAGACACATGTACACACCTGTTTGGTCACGACACACACACACATACATTCAGTTTGTCCATTAAAATGAATGTAATCGATGAAATTCTTAATGATCAATTATCGATTAATCGACTAATCATGCCCATCCCTAGCACAGACAGAGATTTGTGAAGTTTGAATGCTTCACAGTTACATGTCTCACATTTAAACTGCACAGATCTATCCATGCTAATATCTACGTCAGGCATGTCCAAACTATGGCCCGTGGGTCAAATGTGGCCCTCAGATAATTTTTTCTTGGCCCTCAGGCTTCTAGGAGGATAGCCCAAATTACCTTGCATCAATGAAAAATTTACTTTTTATTGCAAGTTTTTTGAAAATTACCTTGATAAAGCCAATATTTAATATTTAGTGTTTGGTTTTGAGGATGTTGGCGTGAATAAAGAACTGATGGATCATTCTAACGCGTTAAACCTGCACAGATTTCAACCTTGTTGGTTGAAGATTTGGTGATGGGGCAGATTTATGAAGCTGCTGGAGAATACCACAAACATTTACACACACACACATTTACACACACATTTACACAGAAAACCATTAAGCAGAAGTTCCACAAACCTACAGCGAGACACTTCCGGCCGTTGTGAAAAAGCTCGATTGTGGTTTTATTACTAAAGGGACACAAAGCAGTTTTAAAGCCTCTAGATCACAGGTGTCAAACATACGGCCCGGGGGCCAGATCCGGCCCTCCAAGACCTTTAATGTGGCCCTCGGCTGATTTTCTACTAAAATATTTTAATTATATTTTCTATTAAAATATTGGTAATTTTCTGTGGTGTTTATCACAGCAGCGTCTCCAGCGTCTCTGTACGTGGCCCCTCCCACCAGAGCAGCACAAATGAAGACTTGTCTCTTTCCAAACGCTCTTAAAGGACGATCGTTTTGACTGTTGACCGTGACACCCTCATCAGAAAAATGTCCAACATGAGAAAAGTGGAGCCGAGTGCAGGATTTTACAACAAAAATGGACTTATTCCTGTTTACAGACAAGTTCATGTTCAAACTTTGTGTTGAAATTGCATTTATCTTAAAGTTTCAGGTTGTTCATAATATTATAAGATTTTGTAAAAGAAACAGTTCATCAGTTAAAAAAGATTTCTGTAATAGATTTGTGTTTCTCTGCGCAAATATTTGAACTTATTGTTATTTTTGGGGTTTATATGACATGAGTTTTCTGATCCGGACACTTTGGGATCAAAGTCGGTTGGATTCGGCCCCCGGACCAAAATGAGTTTGACACTGCTGTTCTAGAGACTCACGTGTTGATCACATGAACATTTTACACAGAAATCGACCGACTTTACATCAGATTTTAGCAGCAAAACTTTTCTCAAATAGTCAGAAGCCTAGAAGCCCTAGAGCAAAGGATCATGGTCTCTGTAGTTCCGTGTGAGACGTGTGAGATGTTTGTTCACCTTTATTGGACCTCGTGCCTGCAGGGGGCTTCTCTTCTCGTTTTTTATTCCCTCCTACGATGTGACATTCCAGAGAGCGGTAAAACTCCGAGGATGCGTCCGTGTCGTTGAAGGAGACGAAGACGGAGACGGAGACGGACGAGTTGGAGTACGACGTCTTGAGCTGCGGATGGTTTTTGGGCACCTCTTCTCCGTTGAGCTGCCATTCTAAAGTGAGTCTGTAGAACGTGACCGTCCACAGAGTACAGCTCCGAGTGACCAGCGGCCCCGATCTCTGCTCAGACTCTGCACAAAAACATAACACAGACAATCCACTCATCCTGAAACTGATTTAGCTTAACTTTTAAGAGAATTGGTCAAGGAAAAATGTTTGAAAGAATAACAAGAGTAAAGAGAATTTTGTTATAATTAGAATAATTGTAGATTTTTTTTTTTTTTTTTTGATGTAGTAAAATGTTCATTCATCTTTTTGTAGATGAATGCCCATGATCGTGCTGTAGTTGGAGATGAGCAGAGGCACAATAAGCTTCAGTTTCTGCCTCCATCTGCTCAGTGACTTAGTGTTTGATTTGATTCTTTTTCAAACTGAATATGTTTTATTTTATGGGCATCATCAGAGCAGCTGCGGGGTCTTAAAAGTCTTAAAATGGTCTTAAATTTCATGTTCCTTAATTAAGGCCTTAAAAAGTCTTAAATTCTGTTGTCCAAGTCTTATTTTTTTCACAAAGGTCTTAAATTTCATAAGCCTATTTTTTTGTAAATTCAACCGGCTACAGTTTGATGTTAAGATGAGCCGTGTGTCAGATGCCCTCCCCGTGTCTCCATGGGGTCTGATTCTGACCCTGTAGTTTAGACTCAACAAACATATGGATTAAAGCGACACACACAGGATGTTTTCTCCAGCAGCTTCATGAATCTGCCCCATCACCAAATCTTCAACCAACAAGGTTCATGCACAATCTACATGAACCTTATCAGGAGAGATGCTTGTACCAGAGCTAATTTCCACCTGTTGTCGCTGGGCAGGTTCATTAGTTGTATTTAATTGACCTTAACATTATAATAATCAGCTGTTCTTCCTGGAGACCTGTAGCATGTTTTGGGTTGATGGGGGAAACCGGAGCGCCCAGAGGAAACTCATCCAGACACGCAAACTCCACACAGAAAGACCAGAGCGACTCGGGATCGAACCCGGAACCTTCTTGCTGTGAGGCACTCAGCCACCGCGCTGCCATCTTCCATGATGAATTTATCCACAACTATCAAGGGAAGAAAGACGAAAACTTAAAGGAAACAACGAGCACAGATTAGTGAACTCATGAATAGAACAGAAGGAACTTGTTCACTCAGACTGATTTTACAATTTAAATCAAAAACTGATTTCATAATGTGGTTATTTAGCCAGGTTGGTGCCCCCTACTGCCTCTGTTCAGTTTCATTTCTCTCCAGCTCTAGGTCTGGAATCAGAATACATGAGACGGTTTGCAAAACCCCGGAAGTTGTAAACGGCGCACCGGCCAATCAGCTGTGAGCTGTGAGGCCATGACGTGGTCATGGTGGCGTCTGTCTGTGTCCCTTTTGTGTTTCAGCACAACAAACAAAACGTCCAGATGGATGTAGACGAAGACAGACATTCTGTGTTGCCAACGATTCCCCAGATTCCTGAGGATTTTCACTCTCTGCTTTGTTTGCTGTTGTCCCGGAAATGACTTGGACACCACTAGTGATGGGCATTCGATCGATTATCGATTAATCATTAACTTTTTTATGTTTAAATGATCATCATTATTATTACTATCTGCACTAATCTGCATAAATAAATTCAACTTTACGACATATAAACATAACGACTCTAGATCCACATCAGCTGTTTGACATTATAATGTGTTTAATTCAGTTTTGTTCAAATCTCACAGAAACAAAACTTAAAACCACATCACTAATTTACATAAACTAAGTGAAGATAAAACTCCAGCTCTTGTGTCGCTGATGTGGTTCAACTTGTGTTGGATTAAAAGACATGACTCAGGTGAATACAGGTCAGTGTGACCAGATTTGTGTTTGTCAAAACCAGGACAGCGTACGGGGGGAGGGGGGCGGGGCCTCGTCATCCACATTGAGCGACTCTCACCTGGAAAAACTTTTTCCCACTGGACACAGAAACATATGTGCTGCTTTATCCACTGTGCACATGGACTCACACTTGTCCCAACGCAACGGAAAGTGTGGAATTTCTTCTACAAATCCTGGTTAAATCCACATTTGTGCTTCAGTTCGTTACAGACTGACCCACTGTTTGTGTCTCGCTCCTTCTGATGCAGAGACACACGTACACACCTGTTTGGTCATGATACACACAGCAACCTACATTCGGTTTGTCGATTAAAATGAACATAATCGATGAAATTCTTAATGATCAATTATCGATTAATCGACTAATCATGCCCATCCCTAGACACCACTGAGCTTCCCGGTGCATTCCATACGTCACGACCAAACAGCAGCGACTAGTTAAATAAAAACATACCCGTCTACCGTCGAGCGAACGAATCCTAATGCTGCGAGGTCACACGGTTTCCACCAAGTGAAACCGACTCATGACTCAGGGTAGTTGATATTAGGTTTATATAAGGATCAGAACATGAGTTGAGTTTGTTGTGTGACTCATGTGGCTCGTTGTTTTCTTTAAGTTTTGTTCTTTCTTCTCTTGATATTTGTGGATAAATTGTTCATGAAGAATGTTTCTCCTTTGTGGAGTTTGTTGGTTGAAGATTTGGTGATGAAGCTGCTGGAGAACGTCCGTAAAAACTTGTGTGAAAAAGTTTTACAGTTGAAGATGCAGAGACTCTCACCTGCGATGACAGAGAGCACAATGTCTGTCTCCGCCCCCTGCTGGTGCTCCGACGTACTGCAGCTGTAGTGTCCGGCCTCTTCGCGCGTCACGTTTTTAAAACTCATGGAGCAGTTCTGCAGCAGGTCCGCCCCTGTCTGCCCCTGTCTGCTCCTGCCTGCTCCTGTCTGTCTCTGTCCTCGGAGACGAATCACAGGACAGAAAGGTTTTCAGTCCCAGGAACACCTAGGTTTAGTCCGTTTAGTCCTGGTCCTGGTTTAGGTTTAGTTTAGCTGGTTCAGTCCAGTTTAGTCCCTGGTTTAGTTTAGTCCTGGTTCCTGGTTTAGTCCTGGTTTAGTCCTGGTTTAGTCCTGGTTTAGTTTAGTCCTGGTTTAGTCCTGGTTTAGTCCCTGGTTTAGTCCTGGTTTAGTCCTGGTTTAGTCCTGGTTTAGGTTTAGTCCTTTTAGGTTTAGTCCTGGTTTAGTCCTTTAGTCCCAGTTTAGTCCCAGTCCTGGTTTAGTTCCTGACTTTAGTCCCAGTTTAGTCCCTTTAGTCCTTAGTCCTGGTTTAGTCCTGGTTTAGTTTGAGTTTAGTCCCAGTCCTGGTTAGTCCTGGTTTAGTCCTGGTTTAGTCCCTTTAGTCCAGTCCTGTTTAGTTTCCTTTAGTCCTTTAGTTTGACTTTATTTAGTTTAGTCCTGGTTTCAGTCCTTTCAGTCCTGGTTTAGTCCTAGGTTTAGTCCAGTTTAGTTAGTCCCAGTTTAAGTCCTGGTTCCTGGTTCCAGTCCTAGTTCCTAGTTTAGTCCTGGTTTAGTTTAGTCCACTTTAGTCCTTTAGTTCCAATCCTGGTTTTAAGTTCCTGTTTTAGTCTTGGTTCAGTCCTGGTTTAAGTCTTTGTTTAGTCCTGGTTTAGTTCCACTTTAGACCCAGTTTAGTCCTGGTTTAGGAAGATAAACTAACACGAGAGTCACATTTCGAGCAGATTTGTACAGAGTTACTCAGTTTTATGCAGAATAACAGAAGATTTGGAAATTATAGAACTTCTGT